CCGTGTGTAAAAGCGTATGTGTGTAAAAGTGTTTGTGTGTAAAAGCGTCTGTGTGTAAAAGGGTCTGTGTGGAAAAGCGTCTGTGTCTGTGTGCAAAAGTGTCTGTGTGTAAAAGCGTTTGTGTGTGAAAGTGTGTGTGTGTGCGTCTGTAAAAAGGCATCTGCATGTAAAAGTGTATGTGTGTAAAAGAGTCTGTGTATAAAAGCGTCTGTGTGTTAAAGTGTTTTCGTGTAAAAGTCTCTGTGTGGAAATGCGTCTGTGTGTGTGCATGAAAAACGTCTCTGTGTGAAAGCGTCTGTGTGTAAAAGTGTAAGTTTATGTGTAAAAGATTCTGTGTGTAAAAGCGTCTCTGTATAAAAGCGTCGCGTTTCTTCGCGTTCACGGAATGATGGTGCCGCGCCTTTTTCCGCAATGTTTGTAGGAATTACCATAATAAAATGAGATAGCACATGTCATTCGCAGACTCATGGCACTGAGCCTCCTGTGCACTTTTGTTGCTCACATTACATTTCATGTTTTCTTTCTACCCCCCCCTTTCATTCTCTCTCTCTCTCTCTTGCTTTCTCTTTCTCTTTCTCTCTCTCTCTCTCTCTTTCTCTCTCTCTCTCTCTCTTTATCTCTGCCCCCTCTTTCTCTCTGTGGTTGCAAGACACATGTCATCTGATGCCCTTTATTAAATATTCTCTTCTTGATCAACCTTACTTTTTCACACCATATCTTTCCATAGCTCATATAAAATTCACCAACTATTCACCGACTATCTTTTACGACTACCATCCTCAGAGCTGCTTGAAAAACATCTTTTCGCTCTCGGGCCAACCGTCGTCTAGTTTTTTTAGTTAATCCAATGACCCAAGGGATAATTGTCTATAATTTCAAATTGCATCTTTTGTGGCAATGCCTGTTGCCAGGTACTGCAAAAATGAGAAGATGGGCTCAGTGCGGGAAGCAATTGATGACAGCAACCTGCCACCGCAGCAGAAGGAATTCTTGCTTAAGCCGCTTGATGGTACAGCAATGGCTTCTAGCAATTTCAAGCTGTCCAAAGGCCAACAGGGTGTTAGCCATTTGCCAAATTACTTGACTGAAAGTGATTCGTCCAAGTTTCGACAACATATTTTGCTCATGGATGCAATGGCATTGCTCATTCGAAGAATGAAGCAAATGTGCTTGGTGTCTTTGAAGGAAACATGCAAGAAGCAGGCATTGGCATTGCTTCTGCATTGAATCAGTGAGCATGGCAAGCCTTTGCCTGGCCCTTGGCAGATCTATTGCATGGCCAAAGATTTCCAAGCTCTGTTTAAATCCACGAACCCTGCAAGTTTCCTAACGAGCCCACTGCCGGAAGCAACCGGCACCGTTGCGTCCCGTCTGACCGGAGGTCTTAACAGGAGCCGCTGGAGCTCCCCAGACCCTCCAGGACAGCTAACATCCACGATCTGCTGCGGGGTGAAAGAAGCATCCGAGCCAAGGCACCACCGGCACTGCCCAAGCGTTACCCACCAGGGTTAACCTTGCATCAACATACCCCGCGCCTCCACGGAGGCTTTTGGCCCAGCAATGTTGCGTGTAATGAGCAGGCATTCCCATAATAACCTCCCGTTCCAACAAGGAGGCAATTCGCAGATCTCCTCGACGATGACGAAGACAGTTGGAATCTTTATATTGATAAGGTGGAAAACGATGCTGATCTGCCGCCCAGCGCTCCAGTTCCCCAGCGCTACAGGAGGTTAACCCCGCGGGCTTCCTCCCCGGCTGCGGTGAAGGCCGTGAAAGTGGGCAGCCGCTGCTGCTCATCTTGCAAAGACCACCCAGCTCCAGAAAGTCCGCCGCGTTGAGCTCCGCTTCAAGTTGGACGACATGAAAATCACCAAATTGTGCCTGCGGACAACGGTGGATATGAACTCCCTCCATCTCCAGGAGCTCCCAATCACACCAGTACAACCTCGGCCGGTGGGCCAGCGTCATGCCGGCCGCATCCATTTTATAAGGGACGACGTCCACTGCTTCACTCATGATCTATCTATCCTCGTTTCCATAGATGCGACCGATTCCATAATAAGGCAACGCGCTTGGCTCCACGGAAAGCGCAATTTGAGCAAAGCCTTGATCCGTGGGACATGTTGGAAGAGACAACTCCTCTTGTCTCTCAACGCTCCTCTCTTGTCAGCGTTGAGCCCGGATACTCCCTGGCAAGGAGGACCTGCTCCCAAGAGGATGAGACCCACTTGGCTCAAAGCCCAACCGCCAACCATCTGAAGCTCCACGTCCTCGACAAAGATCGTCTCCGGAAAGGCTGACTCCACCATGTCCGGCCATCAGCAGCCCCAACAGATCACAGGCTATCCGAAGACAGCTGACACCATCGAACAGACCCACCGATAAGACCTGGATTATAGGTCATGTTCTTCCTCCACATCGCCGCGTACAGTGGCATTTGACGCATTTTGACGCTGCGGCGCCATAGGCGGCGGTCAGCCCAGCGCTAACACAGGCCCCCCCCGCTCGTGGACGCGTCGCTATAGCCGTCACGTCAGGCTGGCATAAGACTCGGAAGTCCATGCGCACCAGAGGGATCAGTGCACAGAACCTTGCCAGCTCCAATTGCACAGGGCCTGGCAGGGGTAATCTGACCACCGGAGGCTCTAAGTTGAACCTCTCAATGAAATGCCGCACCGCATTTAAGGCAGACAAAAGGGGGCGCCGGAACAGGCAAAAGTAAACAAAACCGCCACAGTGTAGCACGCCCGTCTCAGCAGCTCGAGGGCCAGGCACACATACAGACCCACCTTCATAGGTTTTGGATAAGCAACTCCCAAAAATCCATCGACGATGGCGCCCTGAACCTCCGCAATGGTCTTCTGGCACAGACAGATTTTTTGGGGTGCCGTTGCGGCTTCTGCATACGCGTGCCTCGCAACCAACGACAGGAGGCCAGGCTGGCCCTCCGCCTGAGCTGCCGTCTCAGGGTCGGTTTTCTTGATGACATCGAAGTTGTCTAAAATGTCTAAATCTATTCGGTACTGCTCCTTGGCATGACTTGCTGCCCTGTCTTTTCTCATCTCCTTCTGTGCTCTGATTATGGGGTTTGTTTGAGGTAGAGCTTGTCTGACAACGTTCCTGTGAATGTGTTGTGCGATTCCAACGGAGTTTCTGAACCCCATGGGCAGGACACGAGCGTGGAGTACACACTTACGCCCTGCCCACTTGGGCGGTACCAGCCCCTCCGGAATAGCCTTGTTGAATCCCAGAAACGGGTACCAAGAAGGTGGTGGTGAGAACAAGTAGAAAAAACGTCTTCTATCTTCCGAGGATATAAGGGCCAGCTCTCCCTCGTCCAGGCGAAACCGGCTGAGCCCCGAGATACGGTGAAGCAAGACATTGTGGCCCGCACTGGAAATGAAGATACGGAGGCTGGGCCCATGAGGCTGAGAAGCAGGTGTCGCTGCTGTTGGTAGACTGTTGGGCCTTGCGGCAGTGAAGGCCATAGCATGGAACACTTTGGATGCCTGCGGGGAGAAAAAGTCCTTGTCCGCAAACTGTCCGCGAATGTCCGCGTTTGTCCGCGGCTCTGTGAGGGAGACAAGATGTCCGCGTTGTCCGCAAGCTAAACCAATATATAACTTCAAAAAAAAACATTGGGAATCCGAGCATTTGCCGCTTGTCCGCGGAGAAACCTATGGAATCCGTTGTCCGCGGGACTCTGTCAAAACCTGCTTGTTTCCGCTGGTCACGCAAGACTTAAACAATGCCATACCCATGGAAAAATTCGGGCTTCGAGTCCTAAGAGGACGTGTAGGTGTGTCTGACCCAGAACCATCCAACCTTGCAACAGAAGCGACTGAGATGGAATACAAGTGTGTCACATACCTGGATCTTCCATATGGTGCTTATTTCTGCCGTTGCTCAAAAACAGTAGAATTGTCGCCGTTCTTGCGGAAAAACGCCGTTCCTGAAAATCCGCCCGCACGCTGGGGCGTGATCTTCCGGATGGCACCCGTAAAAGGTTACAGGTTTACCTGGGGGGGGGGCATTTTTCGGCCAATACCTCCTGTTTTTGATAGGTCGTGACGCTCGCCTTCAAAAAACACTGTAAAAAACAGTACGGAAGACACCTGTTCGTGAACGCGCCCGTCCAAAATCGGCAAGCGAAAAGTGAAAAAAAAAACGTGTTTTTCAACTTTTTGACCTCAATTTTTTGGTTTGCAACATCTTTTTTTGCGGTTCCGCAGGTGGCCTGGCCCGGAGGCGGATTTTTGAGTTTTTGGACCCGTTTTCGGACTGATTTTCGTCGTTTTGTGATAGCAGAAACACTGGTTTTTACAGTGTTTTTCTGTTTTCTGCATGCTTGACGGCTAGCTTCAAAACTTCCAAAAACCTCGTAAATTACGCTGTTTTATGTTACAGTGTGAATGAAAACATCGTAAATACCAGTGTTTTTTGACGTTGGTTAAAAAAACACTGTAAATTACAGTGTTTTTGGCCACCTGACCCTCAAAAACCATGGTATTTGCAGTGGTTTCTGCTTCTCACCGCGCAAAAACACTGTAAATAACAGCAATTTCGCCGTTTTTTCATGTTTTTCGTTATTTTTTGAACTGCGTTGGTCCGCTATACATGGCCATCAAATTCTTCGCATTTTTTTTCCGACAATCAGTACTTTCGGATGTTTTTGGTCTCAATGCCCCTGCTGTGTGAGCCCAACGATGCGGTGCGGGCGGTTGCCGTCGCGAAGCGACGTGAATAAATGCCGTTGTGCAGAAATTGTCAGCCCACGTGGTCGGGTATTTTCGCCATTTGGTCGGGTATTTTCGCCGTTTGGTCGGGCATTTTCGCCGCTGAAAAACGGGCTTGGCAGCAATATATCAGAAGAAACTCTGGTTTGCCCAAAAAGGTCGTTCTTGTAGAAAACCTATTTATTGGGCAAAAGGCAGAATTAAGCCCACTTAATGGAAGAGGCAGGTATAGCCGACGCCAATTTGTCCGGCTCTTGCACAACTTCATGCATCCAATTCTTTCGCGGCCAAGGTGAAACGGTGCAAGTGCATCTGCAACGGGTGACACAAGCAAAAAAAACCAAAGTGATGCAGCTCTTGCAATTTGGAAGTACGTCCCTGGCGCTCATGAGATAACGGGTGCAAAGCGTCTAGACCAAAGTGTTTCACCACATTACTTTCGAAGCAATGATGATGGATCCGTGCCTCTTGTGGTGAAAAAAGGCTCCGGCACCAGTGTGAAAACAAGATAGAATCCAACAAAACAAGCCGGCCCTCTACTTGTAGGGCCTCCTGCCGCAATTCCACCAACTCGTCCGGCTCGCCCCTCCCCACAGACAGGAGGTTGCTCATCCACCCTCCCGTCTCCTCGGCTTTGAGCTTCTTGAAGGTGACCAGGTGGATCATGTCGTCGGCACTCAGCTCCTGCCCGCATGCCACCGGACAGGTGTCCTCGAATCCTGCGGTCCGGAATGCCTGACAAGTACTTCACCAGGTGTTCGCTCTTGGCGCCTTCGAGGTGAACCTTTAACCAAGGCTCGCACCCCCCGAAGCGGAGAACTTGTACCATAGTTCACCGCAGCGCAGCAGTTTCTCAGGGGGAATGTCAGCCCCTGGAACGTCGGCTGAAGCGGAGCCGATAAGGGTCCTCAGCCGCGACCGCGGCTGAGGGCTTCTGATTCCTCGCCCTCCTCGTAGTAGTCTTCCTCGGTCACAGGGGCAACGGGCGACTTGTCGTCCTCAGGCTCCTCCTTCTTCACTTTCTCTCGTGCGGTCTCCTCTGTGGCGTCAGTCTCTTGGCGGTCTTTTTTCCTCTCCTTGTGGGTGGCAGCGGCCTCGGTCTCCTTGCCCTCTCTCTTGCGTTTCTTGTCCTTGCTCTTTTTTCGGCGGTCCTTGTCCTTGGGCTCCTTCTTTTTTGGGCTTGGGCTCTTCTCCTTCTTCACTTCCTTTGCAGCGGGCGCAGGAGTGGACGGCGCACTCCCGGATGGCCTCCCAGAAGCGAAGCCTTGTCCAGAGGCTCCGCTCAGGTAGAAAGAAGTAGCTATCAGCCTCCGCTAGGAGGGCGCTCGGGCTGAAGTGGCTCCCAACTGCTCCGGAAACCTGGGTCCCCTAACCAGGTTTTCCAGCCGCAGTAGGCCCGAGCAAGTCTCGCACAGCGCAGCCCCGGACGGCGGGAGCTCAAATTTGCCACCGCACCCCGAACAGCCAGGGGCGGTGGCCATCTGCTGAGCCGAAAACTTGAGCCGAAATGTATGCATGGGATATGTTCAATAAATGTCTTGCAACTGCCGCCGAGCAAGTTGCAAACAAAGCAATCAAATAATATATATATATATATATATATAAATCGATAAATCAATGAATGCAAAAATAAATAAGTAAATAAATATATATATACCTGCCGCCTCCAACGGGCAGAAATTTAGGCCTGAAACCAAAAAGTAGCCTTTTTGGGACTCGGGCTATTTTTTAGCCTGAGCATCGATTCAGGCGAGATTGTCCATTCAGGCTGGAATTGCCAGTTTTGGCTCAATGTGTGAGCTCTTGTTTTGAGAGCTATCATTCCTTTTTGAGGAGGTGCGAACCCACCATGCCCTGCACCTCTGCTGACTTCTTTTTACACTTTGGAGATCGGTCTTTTGATTATTCTTGGCCGTCAATTTGTGGCCATTCTCTGGCTCCAATCCAGCAGGGGGGCAAGTTTAGAACTAGTCTTTTGACATTGTCTTAGCTAAAATGTCAATTTCTTTTGCTCATGCCGGCCCTGGAATGATGGCCTATCTCAACAACGAAGGCCAGCATGTGAATTGCTTGCTTCAACAATATTTCTGTACATGATTGGTTTTCCTATCCCCATTAGCCATTTTCTGCTAGGATTGGTTAGCCTTCCGAAGCAGTGGTGGATGGAAGTGCAGCGAGTTCTCTTTGAAGATACCCCGGAAGTTTCTTGGAACCAAATTATTGCCAAGTATTCCCCAACATGTTTCTGGAATAGCGCATTGTTTTCAACTTCTGGTATTTCCTGAGGAAACTCCTTCCAAAGATCGATTGGACACCATCCTGGAAAACTACAAGCTTGGTGGCCACACCCTTTACTTGGCTAAGATTGCGAAGACTTTGGGCACCTAAGCTTATCTTGTTTTCTTATAACCCAGTTAGGAAGCACTCTCATCCCATGATTCTATATGCTGTGTGTGGCAATGAAACCTTACATTCCAACAGTCACCCCAACAGCTGCTGCCACTTCCATTGCCCGCTCATCTCAGGCAGCACAGGCAAATGAGAGATCGGGGCCTTAGCCGCTGCACAGGCAGCAGGTAGGTTTTTGTGCAGGACCAAAGGATGCACAACCAGGGGTAAAATGAACAAGGAGCATCGACTAGCCAAAATTGAAGGTTCAATAAAATTTAAAGTCCTATAACATCAGGATACCCAATTAGCGATTGATGGGTTTTTTCCCCACCTGCCAGGTGAGGGTTGTTAGATTTTATCAGAATTGTTCTTCTCCTCCTCTTCTTCCTTCTCCTCCTCCTCTTCCTCCTCCTCCTTCTTCTCCTCCTCCTCGTTCTCCTCCACCACCTCTGCCCCCACTTCCATGTCCACTTCCGCCTTGCCAACTCTTCGCCAAGCTTTTCGCCAACTTCCGCACGCAGTGGCCACTGCTGGACCTCAACTGCAAGGATCTGAGCGCACTGGGCACCGCTGGACCTCAACCTGGGACCTTCCGAGCTCAGTGAGCACCGCTGGACCGCAACCTGGGATCCTCCGAGCTCGGTGAGCACCGCTGGACCTCAACCTGGGACCCTCCGAGCTCAGTGAGCACCGCTGGCCCTCAACGGCCAGATAGAATGCCAGAAGATATGCCAGATAGAATGCCAGATAGAATGTCAGAAAGAATGCCAGAAGATATGGCAGATAAAGTGCCAGAATGTTTGCCAGATAGAATGCCAGAAGATATGCCAGATAGAATGCCAGAAGATATGACATGTCAGATAGAATGCCAGAAGGTCTGCCAGATAAAGTGCCAGAATGTTTGCCAGATAGAACGCCAGAAGATTTGCCAGATAGAATGCCAGACAGAATGTCAGAAGATATGCCAGAAGATATGCCAGATAGAGTGTCAGAAGATATGCCAGATAGAATGCCAGAAGATATGCCAGATAGAATGCCAGAAGATATGCCAGATAAAATGCCAGAAGATATGCCAGATAGAATGCCAGAAGGTATGCCAGAAGATATGCCAGGTAGAATGCCAGAAGATATGCCAGATAAAATGCCAGAAGATATGCCAGATAAAATGCCAGAAGATATGCCAGATAGAATGCCAGAAGGTATGCCAGATAGAATGTCAGATAGAATGCCAGAAGGTATGCCAGAGAAAGTGCCAGAACGTTTGCCAGAACGTATGCCAGAAGATTTGCCAGATAGAATGCCAGAAGATATGCCAGATAAAATGCCAGAAGATACGTCAGATAGAATGCCAGAAGATACGTCAGATAGAATGCCAGAAGATTTGCCAGGTGGGGATAACTCGAAGTAAAGTATTTTTTTGACCTTGAAGCAGGATACCCAACAAAAGCGGTAGCAGTGCCAATCCCCACGCAGGTGGTGGTGGGACATGCTTATGCGCTGACTATGCTACGTGCGCCTGGGGGCTGCTCAGGGTGTTTGGGTGGATTTTTGATGTAGGGATGGGTCAAACCATGTCCAAAACCCATGATGCTAATTTTGTGGGAGATGAACCTCCCTTTGCCAACTGTCAATTTGCTTTGACTCATTACCATGTCAAGTTCTCAATGGTGCTGTTGTGGATGGTTGAAATGTCCGAAGTGGTTTTCTGGCCCATTAGCTACGCTTGCCTGCTGCTTTAGCAATGGCGGCTCCAGGGGTCGCGGGGGAGCAGGAGGATGAGCGTCCAGTTTCGTTAGAGGGGCTGGCAGATCTTTGGAACGCAGATGAAGTAGTCCGGGAGAAGCTGCTTCACACAGGGTCATTTCTTTCATGGCCATCCGCCAGATCCAAGGGTGTTGTCAATTTTGATAGCATGAGGCTGAACGCTGCTGTCATCTACAAAGTTCTAGAGCCGTGGTTGCCCCAGAACCCGTTCCCCAAGACTGTTTCCATCGATGCTATCCGAGACGAGGATTGTGTTGCAAATAAAATGTCAAACAGTAAACGGCCCGAAATTTAACTTGTTTAAACAAGTTTAACCCCCCAGATAATCTGGTAATTCAAGTTTGTAAAACTTAAGGATGTTTGATTGCACCCTGTTTTTGCCTATGCCCCCGCAGGTTGACAAACTTCGGATGAAGCTGAACATGGATCGCGATGCTGTCCAGATTTCGTGTGATGCAGATTCCACCAAGAGTTTCATCACTTACATCGTAAGGCGGCATGATGGGTCTCGCCGCAGGGAGCCTTGAATTGATCAGGGTTGCTTTTTGTCAAAATATTGTCTCTTTTCTTTTCACCCATATTTCCAGGAACCTCCAAAAAGTTTCTCGACCATATGTTCCAGCTTCAATGTGTGCAACCTCAGGACCCAATCGTTTCTGAGATTTTCAGCTATGTAGCGGAGTTTTGGCCAGTCATGACCAGAAAGAATAGCTGCGATGAAGATTCCCAAGCCCAATCTGCAGAAAGTTCAGCCCCTGATGAACCTAGTGATGATGTAGTTCAACATGATGATTTCAACGAGGAGTTTTCTGACGCAATGTTGCTTCAATTGGGTCTTCGGGATGACGGTTACCCTGCACATGACATGGAGGACGACCTGATGAATGATAGCAGTGCCCCTATCATGGCCCAACCTGTGGAGCCACCCCGTGATTCACAACTCTTGGAGGACACATACCCGTACCCCATGAGCCTGTCACCGCCGAAGTTGGATGCTTTGGAATGTGATGGTCCTTGTCCAACGGGTCCTGGTTCCCCGGAAGTAGGGCGATATGATGGACACAGCTCCCCAGCCCCAGCACCTTCACCGCCCCAAACGGATACGGTCATGAAGGACACAGTTGTGGTTGATTCCTACAGCCCAAGTATCGCCCCAACAGAGTTGGAGGTGACGCCCTCCCCAAATCCAGTGCACACTTCTGAGAACCAGAAGGTTGACTTGATCGAAGTTCCAGAATCACCAGAGCCCAAGAAGGATCCCAAGAAAGATGTAGATTACCAGCAACTCAGAGATAGGATCAATGTCTTGAAGTATCTAGTTCGCAGTTTCAGTTGTAATCTAAGATGATTAAAGATTTTGTTTTTAGTTTCTCACGTTTTGGTTTCTGGTTTTATAAATTGTTTGGGGTTGTTGGTGATCAAAACGGGGCATGTGAGGCAGCGGCTGCAGCTCCAGACCTGTGCCCGGCCATTGCAAAGCACTAACCAACCAGCAGAGCCCAGCCCACCCGTACCAGTCAGCTTTGATGCAAATGCTGACACATTGCCTTTTGACCTTTCACCTGTGGCAAAGGCTTGGAAAGAGGGTGGGGGTCCTAGTGAGGCTGCACCTTGTTTGGAAGGAGGTTCTGAGGCAGCACCAGGCAAATTGCACCGGTCTCACCCAGCAGCTGTTGTGGAATCCCAGCCTTCGGCCTCTTCTGACCCCCCGTTTGAAGACTGTCCTTCCCAACCCCTGAGCAATAGCAACAACCAGGAAGATGCTTCTGCCCAAGTTCTCGGTACCGATGCCAAGCAGCCCACCGCCAGCGAGCCAGCAGAACCCAAATCCTTGTTCCATGCCACCCAACAGGTTTCTAGGCAAGAGCAAATGGCACAAAGGGATCAGATGCAGAAAGAACAGGAGGAAAAGAAAAGGAAGGCAGCCGAGGCGAAAAGTAAGTGCAAGGCAAAGGCCAAAGGCAGAGGAAAAGGAAAGGCAAACAACAGCAAGGCAAAGGCGAAAGGCAAGGCAAAGCCGAAGCGAAAGGCAGCAAAACGAGCAAGGAAGGCACATGAGGATGAGGATGATGAGGAGCCAGAAGTGAATCCAAACACTGATCCAGCCACTGAAACCCGCCCTAGCGATGTTGGAGATTCAGGTGATGAAGGTGATGGTGTGAAAGGAAAGGGATCAAAGAAAGAACAGGCAATGGCAAAAAGGAAGGCGAAGGCTGAGGAGAAACGTAAGGCAAAGGAAGAAACGAAACAGTTGAAGGCTGAGGAGAAACGAAAGGCAAAGGAAGAAGCAAAACAGTTAAAGGCTGAGGAGAAACGCAAGGCAAAGGAAGAAGCAAAACAGCTGAAGGCTGAGGAGAAGCGTAAGGAGAAGGAGTTGAAGGCCGAGGAGAAGCGTAAGGCAAAGGAAGGAGCAAAGAAGGATGATGGCAATGCCAAAAGACAAAAGGCTTCCCATGACAACCCAGCCAACCCACCAGGTGAAAAGGCAACCTTTGCCAGGCGCGCCCGCCCAAAGACGGCAGGGTGTGGAAAGCGATGGGACAGTTTGAAGTGTACCTTCAACACCCGTTTGGCCCACCTTTTCGCCCACCCCTCAGCCATGGAGGTGTGGGGGGATGACAAAAAACAACAGCAAGTTATAGCAGGTTGAAATTCAACATTTTTCTAGAACAATAGAATTCAAAGCAGTACTTTCACATTCGGGCTTCATAGCTTCAAATTTTCACATCCCTGCGAGGATCCCTGGTGGAAGCATTGCACACAACAAGAGCAGCAACAGCATACCCGCGTTTCCAACTATGACTTTTTCTTTGAGGGATGCGTGGCTTCGTTCCTTGAGGACGACGAGGTTAAGAGCAACCTTCCCTGTTTAGCTTTTTTTTGTGATGGAGAAATACTTGCAAACGGTAACCCCTATAAGTATCTAAAGATGTTTTTTAGGTTCAGCCCCTTGCAGCTTGCCCATCCAAGGTATGATCACCAACGAGAGCTGAGATGGCTGATGGGCTCCATGTTTATCTCTTGATCAAACGAAGATTTGATGTGTGGGTTTCGCAGGCTAGTTTGCTTAGACTTAGACTTTGTGGTGTTGGAAGTGGCTGAGGGGCGGAGTCGAAAAACACATAACTTTCATCTAATCAAAACATTTCCATTGGGAGTTCCATACAGCTATTATAGTTCATAACACTCTGTATTTAAAATTTCCCCCAAACCTGCAATGCCAACGCCATTGCAAACTGCTGGCGGTGACAAATTCTGAACCTAGCATGTGCCACAGTGACACTGGCTGGGAAGTGAAGCTTGGGGAACAAGGCAAAAAATACCTAGCCCGGACACAGCAGGAGTGCACATTTAAAGGGGTGGTTATCCTGTCATTTTCTTATCGTTATGTTTTATTGCTCCTTCTCTCCCCCCACAGTATTCAAAACTCAGATAGCGATGCTTCAGTTACTTTTTGCCACATGGGGATGTCTCAAAATGAGGTGCCTTTTTGGGCCCCCAAAATGTGAGTTCAGAAAAGGAAAAAGGGCGCCTCACTTTGAGACATCTCCACATAGAGTTGTTCAGTTCATCCTGTCTTCTGATTCCATGTCTCCTTTCGGCACCAGGTACATGATGCATGGTGAAGCTGCGGAGAGGCTTGGCTTCCTACGCCAAACATGGTGTAGAAGAACGGCTTGCAAGTCTACCTGACCAGTTTGCCGGATGGGTCGTGCTGTTTGGCTAGCTATGTCTTGCAAACCACGGTTTTGAATTCCATAGCCTTTTTTGTGAAATCTCAAAGCGGATTGGTGGGAGCCATGGTAGCTGCTAGCTCCAGCCCTGTGATGCCTCCAAAACTAGAGCTGATGCTCCGGCGACTTATTTGGATGAAGGCTCCCAAAGTACCCATGCTGAATTATATTATGTTGCTGCAAATTACCGAGCATGTATTTCATAGCCTGTGATTCGGTTGATTCAAGCTTTTAAGATGGCATGTAGTTTACTCTGGGCCTAGGTATTTTGCCTCATAGTTCTCATGATCGGGTATCTCGAGCCGGTTGACATGACGAACGGCGGGAATGAGTACATGGTGCTAGAGTTCTATGCAGGTGCAGCCAGGCTAGCAAAGCAGGTCAATGCTTTAGGTGGCCCTGCCACTGCTATGGACCGGTTGTATGATGCTGACGGTGACAACAAGACCCAAAATAATTGCATGGACTTCAACACCAGTGGAGGTTTCCTGTTTCTTAGCTATGGAAAAAATGGAAGTTTTAGATACCTTAAGCTCTGGGGTTTGACTGGTTTTGGTTTCTCCCTGGCGGACCTCACTTGCCCTCGTTCCCAGCCTTCTCCATCAGGTTAGCTTGCATTTTGGTGCTGCAATCCAAATTCGCTGGATGCTTGTGCCTCTTGGGTGTGGCTTGCGCCACATGGGTTGGAATATCTCGTGGCTCTACGTTTCGTGATGTCTTTTTGCCTATGGGGCATCCCCACTCCCTGGCAGTGTACCGTGCTAACAAAGCTGTTTCAAGGCTAGGTCTCATGAAAGATCTTGTTTATCTATCCATCTTTCGGATGTTTTTATCATCCCACATGAGGTCCGTACTGCAACAATTTATATATTACATCATGCAACAATTCTGATCCCCTGGGAAGGACAATATTGCTGGTGATGATGATCATTTGTGCTGATAATGTTCCGATCTTAGAGAATCCTGGTAGCTCCCTGTTGGCTTCGCATGATCGTTTTCGTCACCTGGTCAAACTCCTACAATCGTATGGTTTGAGTGCCTAAGCTCAAAAACAATGTATATTTACGTTTATTATTTGGGAAAGTCACACCCTTAAAAAAAACAACAGTCTTCATTTCTATCAGCATCCTTGTAGCCCACTGAGACTTCTATCGACAAGCTTTGTGGATGAAGCACTGGGGACACTCATGCTTGAAGAGGACATTGTTGTGGAGCACTTCCGATTTCATCAGCAAACTCAATTTGGGGAAGATCCAGAAAACTCATCACAAATCGTTGGTCAAAACCGTGAAGCAGTACATTGACAAATCTGGAAAACGGAGATTTCACGGTACAAAAGCCCTCAAAGCCACAGAGTTTCTTACTTGATTGGGATGTGCTTTCAATTGTTGTTTTGGGTCTTCACTCATAATACCATCAAAAAATGATTAAAATGCGAACTTATGAATGGTTTAAAATGTTTGAAGAGAAATTTTCGCTCAGGCTATATCCAGTTCGGTTCACCGGCAAGATCCTGGAGTACGGCACGGAACTCTTGGAAACCACACCGCGACTCGCTGAGGTGACTCGGGAAGCCTCGGGGTGTGGGCCAGGGTTTGGGTTGGAACACATTGGCACTGCCCAACCACCTACCAGAATAGTTCTTCCTGCTTCTCTATTTTTCACTTATATGTTGTTGCTTTTGGGTCCTAGGTGCCTTGGGATAAGCCGGTGATTCAGCTTCTGGCCGAAATGGAGACTGGCGACACTTGGAACGACGCAGAACTGTGGACCATCTACAGTTATGTCAGGCAATCCAAGCTTTTACGCTTGCCTGAGCCTTTCAAGGCAGTGCTTTTCACCCATGCCTGCTAGAATATCCTAGCAAGCCTATGCAATACAAGAAATTCATTGTGTAATTACTTCACGTTGGGATTCTCAGCAGCATAGGTAAAATGGAGCGGAACCCAAGAGTCTGGAATGCTTTGCTTGGTCTTCAAATTATCCAATGCAATTTGTGAAAGAAGATTTGTTGATTATTTCCCACCGTTATTTCCCAAATTTTGGGTGCCCATTCTCGGCTATGCATGGTCAATCTGGATCATTTCCATCACCAAGTCAGGCGATTTTCATGGCAAACTCGGGCTACTTTCAGGGAAAATTCGGGCTATTTTTGTGTTTTGGTGTTCACCAATTCAGGCGGGAATACCCGGGAATCAGGCGGGAATACCCGGGATCAGGCGAGAATTGGCGAGGAAACGATTTTGAGCAGTTTAGGGAACAAAAATATGATATCAATTTTGGCACAAAAATGACCCAAATTTTGAATAACAACTGATCAAAATGTTGATGAAAAATGTTCAAAAATTGACCCCCAACAAAATTAACGGAGGTTGTCAACCAAAAAATCGATCGCGTACATAGCAATTCTGGCTACAGGATTTTGACTTAGATATGAGTTTCCTTAGCCAAAGCCTTTCCTCTGAGACCCTGTTGAGAGGGTTGCACATGTCCCAAGCGCTGGACTTGTCGATCGAAAATGATCCTTCTCCTGAAGAGCTCAGGGCAGAGCTGAGGCGACTTGAAGTATCTCACATCAATTTAGATTTTCCAAGGCATGCAAGAAATCAAAAATTCAACTAATGATCTTACACAGGGGGTGATCTGGATGTACCCATCCTCTTAACTAAGGCACTAAGTGAGCAATGGAAAGCTGCGCATCCCGGGGAAGAGTCACCATCACGCAACAGCGACATGGGCGATGAAGATTTGCAAATCCTGTTTGTGAACCAGGTGAGGATTCTAGGTTTCCAATGCACTGTTTATTCCCCACCTGCCAGGTGAGGGTTGTTGAATTTAATCAGAGTTGTTCTTCTCTCCTCTTCTTCCTTCTCCTCCTCCTCTTCCTCCTCCTCCTCCTTCTTCTCCTCCTCCTCGTTCTCCTCCACCACCTCTGCCTCCACTTCCATGTCCACTTCCGCCTTGCCAACTCTTCGCCAAGCCCTTCGCCAACTTCCGCACGCAGTGGCCACTGCTGGACCTCAACTGCAAGGGTCTGAGCGCACTGGGCACCGCTGGACCTCAACCTGGGACCCTCCGAGCTCGGTGAGCACCGCTGGACCTCAACCTGCGGAGGGGACCTCAACCTGGGACCCTCCGAGCTCAGTGAGCACCGCTGGCCCTCAACGGCCAGATAGAATGCCAGAAGATATGCCAGATAGAACGGCAGATAGAACGTCAGAAAGAATGCCAGAAGATATGCCAGATAAAGTGCCAGAATGTTTGCCAGATAGAATGCCAGAAGGTATGCCAGTTAGAATGTCAAATAGACTGCCAGATAGAATGTCAGATAGACTGCCAGAAGGTATGCCAGATAAAGTGCCAGAATGTTTGCCAGATAGATAGAACGCCAGAAGATTTGCCAGATAGAATGCCAGATAGAATGTCAGAAGATATGCCAGAAGATATGCCAGATAGAGTGCCAGAAGATATGCCAGGTAGAATGCCAGAAGATATGCCAGATAGAGTGCCAGAAGATATGCCAGAACATATTGCAGAAGATATGCCAGGTAGAATGCCAGAAGATATGCCAGATAGAATGCCAGAAGGTATGCCAGATAAAGTGCCAGAATGTTTGCCAGAACATATGCCAGAAGATTTGCCAGATAGAATGCCAGATAGAATGTCAGAAGATATGCCAGAAGATATGCCAGATAGAGTGCCAGAAGATATGCCAGAACATATTGCAGAAGATATGCAAGGTAGAATGCCAGAAGATATGCCAGATAGAATGCCAGAAGATATGCCAGATAAAATGCCAGAAGATATGTCAGATAGAATGCCAGAAGATTTGCCAGTAAAAAAACGTATAGATGTCATGGTGGGGATAACTCGAAGTAAAGTAATTTATTTCTATGTTTCCTGCTGGGGTTTCTGCACTGAATGCTTTCCTACAGTCAAGCTACCCAAAAATTAGATATCAGATACCAGGTACTTCCCTTAACATTTGACATCCATGCCCCTTTGCTCCAGCGCGAGGCTGCCAAGGACATCCACTCAGCTTTGGTCAAGCACGAGGTGAAACCGGAACCCTTGGATGATTGTGCCAACAGAGAACTTTTTCCGGATGCCCAAGTTGATGACAGCCCCCGGTTTCCACCCGAGACCATTGGTGACACGCAACATGAAGAGTCGGATACCGTTCCAGCTGATCCCCCCACTGCTCCAAGCGAGGTAGGTCCCACTGAAAAAGGTAAGGACATGACTGGGGACCTTGGAACACCCAACATGCCAGAACAGTCAGAATCCCCCGCTCCTCCAGCTATGCCGAGTGTGCCAGCCAGTGACCTTGGAAAAGGTTCTGCTATTGGCAAGGGCCGTGGGGGAGTCAAGAGGAGGGGAGTTGAGGATTCGGAGTTTTGGGTTGCATCCTCCCCACCGGCTGTTTTGAGTGAGAAAGCTATTGATAGTCGTTTGAGACGTGTATTTACACCCAGGGCTGATGGCAGTAGATTGTTGGATGACTCATGGCTACATCAATGGCAAGACAAACACGAAGGGCGATCCAAAGTCTTGGAGCTATTCGAGAAAGTTGGATACAATCCGGACATGGGTTGCCAAAAAAGGGGACATGGTTGAGCAGGTTGAAAACCATCAAAAGCCATCCAAAGGGCTGTATAAAATCCGAAGAACCGAAAAATAACCCAATCATTCTACTGTACACAGGGTTTTCAACCTGCCTTGGTTATTTTCATTCTGTTGTTTTGGATGGTAAATCTTTTTAAACTTCCCCCCAAGAATTGGTTTATCACATAGCTGCGGTTATCAGTCAAGCCCCCAAGTGTTATCAATTGCCAGGTATCACATGGCCTTAAAACAGAATACTCTTCTTTTTTGGGGGGCCATGCAACTTGGTGTTATTGATTCTAGTATCTATACCGGTTGTTGGGGGGACACGGCTTCAAACCTAACAACACGGCCGCTCATTTCCTTTTCCAAGCTGAGTAGTTTTGATCGTTTTCAAGTTTTGACCAACCAGCGATAGATCCCAATATACTATGATATCTATGTTTTCACAGGGGTTATCAACCAGTCCAGGCACCAAAAATGACTGTTGGATACCTGTTATAGGTCCTTCTGTTTATTGGCATTCCTGTGACATTCAATGGCCCACAAAGGATGCTTCCCAAGTCGATGACATGGTTGTTCTTTTTTCAGGCATCAGGTTTGGAACGGATCCCATTTTCTGGCATGTATACAACGTACTCCATTGGTAAGTCAGTTCCAAACGGATAGATACGGCATCCAACGGCATCCATGTCAACATGCCAAACTGTTCTGCCTCCAGATGAAAACATGTTGACCAGGTATGTTCTTTAGTCCCATTATATTTGGTTGGTTACATTAAGCTAGAAAGTTGGCACCGCATCCCTTCCAGGACAAATTTGTGAAGCGATGCAGATCTATCACCGAGAAAATCACGGAGGAGACGGCAGAAATTGAAGGCGAATGGCTTACTGAAGAGGACATGGGCCTCCTTAAGTATAGTGAGCTTCTCTGTGGCATTAAACCCTGTTACATTCCGGTGATACAGCCATGGTATGACATAGTTCCAACCCTCAAAATGTGGCACCTTACATATCTTCCTAGTATTGCCCTATCTCTCTGGCAGATTTTTTGTGTCACATAACTCATGGAAGGAAAAGATAGCCAGTAACAGCTTTAGTGATGTGCCATCAACCTTCCCAGTTCAATCAAGGTCGAAGATTCAAGGGGTGATCCGGTATTGCCAAGCCCGCCCGGGATTCACAAGGACGGCTGTGTCCATATTTTTCAATCCCATGTTTGCTGAGGCTTGTGCATACATAGGTACGCCGCTGCTTTGCAATCTGTCGGTTGTGCCTGCAGGCTCAGCAAATACGGGGCTGGAACAATGTATTGGACAGAAGTCCGCGTCAGAGGAAGCCTCAAGAAACTCGGGCTTCAAACCAAACCTGGATAGATTCAATCTTGGTCATAAGAACAATCTGTTGGTGCTATTATGTGCTATGGGGGATGGTGTGTTGCGATGTTTGGTCCCTTTTTCAACAAACTTAGGAAGACCAAGCGCCAGCGTTTGGAAGAATGCCTTGAATGGGACGAAGCCAATGCATCTGGTGAAGTCCCCGACCAGAAGTTGGAATGGAGCATGGTGGATCCAGAAGGTGACGGTTCCTTGTTTTACACTCCACCTACCAACAAACTGTACCCTAAATGTGCCCATGCCTTAGAGGCCTTAGAGCAATCTAAATTGTCTTGACTAGTCTAGGGTTGGTCGCCCAAGGCTTGGCCCACCTCATGAATGCGGCCCCGGAGGAGCAAGAGGCAATCCCGGTGCATGAGGTTCAACCGGAGGGCCAGGAAGAACTTCAAAAAATTGGTTACCCAGAGGTTGAGGGGGATCTAGCACCATCGGCTATTGTTCCCAAAGCTTGCACTACCATCCAAAAGCAACACGTGAAAGTGAAAGCCTTCATCAGCAGCTTCTCTGGTGATCTTTCTCGCATCCAGACCAGGAGTCCTTGGGGCAGCGGGCGATCCCTCAGCTTACTGATCATCATTGGCTAAGTGGTTCGAAGATACAGAACATGCACTAAACGATTTTCAAATAGAATATCCCTATTACCTACTGTCTTTTTTGCCCCTTGATTTTTAGAGATTCCTTTGACACCAGGATGAAAGACAAGATGGAGTCCGCTAGCAAGTCTTTGGAGGAATGCTATGAAAACTTGGTCGATATGCACGGTGAGGGGGTCCTGGATGGTTTTACCCCGGCGCGGCTCAGCGCAATAGTGATGGGAATTCCTGGCAAATAAATGTTGAAGGCATGCATTCCAAAACGTACCTTCACTAGAACCCTTGGTGGTTGAAGGCTTGAAGGCCTTTGCCCCCAACATCCCTGGGGTTCCTGCGACAAAGGTTGTTGAAAATCTTTACGTGTTGTGTTTGCGTGGACCCTTTTCAACCGCTGTTGGAACCAACGGCAGTTGAAAGCACCACCACCTCAAAGAAATCACGTTTACAAAAATCTTCAACCAATGGCTCAGGTTACAAAAGAAGATCGACACCGCTTTGAATGATGGCCGCAAGAGGCCCACCCTTTTATTAGACTTGTTTTGCAACGTTTGTTTCTGAACTACCCATGCACGATATTGTCCAACAATCGCTTAATTACTATACTATTTATTGGTTTTCTTTGTCCCTGAAAGGTTGCTGGAGGTTCTCGGCTTGATGAGCTTTGCCAAGTCAAACCCTCAGGATTCATTGTGAAAATGGGGCCTAACTGGCGTAGCAAAGTACATACTTATGTCAAAGCATCACCTGTCAAACATATCACACCAGAAAACTTTTTGTGGGTTGTGCGATTCTTCGGCCCCAAGGTCTCATTGCCCGAAGGCACTGAAAAACAGCGCGACTGAGAAGCCATCGCCCAAGGCCAAGCCAAAGGCATCGCCTAAGGCGAATGCAAAGGTCCCAGCCCGTCCCCGTAGGCCCGCCCCAAAGAGCAGTCCCAAGTAGGGATGTCACTTGTTCCTCCATGAGTTTTGCCACCATCGCTATTCAGTCAGGAAACAATATTGATCATTGCGTTTTATTCCTTCATAAGCTTCCCATGGTGGGTCAAACATATCAAATTGTTGATGCTGTGTCTGATGGTGGTCAAAGATGCTGGCAAGTGTCAACTTAGAAAAGTTGGGAATACCAACTCCGAACCCAGTTTAGTTTCGACATGCAGTTGCGTCAAATTAGGAATCTAAAGTTCTTCTTGGGGATCCGTGACACATCGGGAAAAAGGTGTTCTTTCATCTTGCCGACAACGCTACGTCCAAACAAATGCAACCCGATGATTGTGTTGGTCCTTCAAACTTCAATCTCCACCATCTTGAAGGGAATGATTGCGATCCATGCCAGGTCACAGACCACCATCGAAATCATGCGTCTTCAATGAGCGGATTATCCATCATGTTGCCGAAACTTTGGGAGATGGTGTCAGGGACCCTGGGTTCAATTTCCAAGAGTCATACCTGCCCACCCAATGTCATCCAAGCCCTTCCAGTCACCAGCTTGTGCCTCATTGAGGCCACAGCCGCTAGCGCACTGAAAACCTTGCGCGCCATCGAGGGCAAAGATGAGCCCTCGGAGGAAAAAAGGGTTGACCAAAATAGTGAGAGGGATATGCAACGGTTTGTTCAGGAACATGGCTTCTCACTTCCAGTCCCAATTCGGACAATGGAACATGATTGCAATGGTAACACTCCTGATTTACGACTGACTACTTATCACATCAGGCCACAGGACTGGGTGCAACATTGGATTGATAGTTGTCCAGAACTTTTGTGTGGTAAGAATGCCACCTATGCTGAAAACTTTGAAGCCTTCTGGAAGCTTTATGAAGTTGAACATCCACAGCACGAAGTCTTTTCGACCCACCGGGATCGCCTTTCAAGGGTAGTGCCTCTACTGATACATGGAGATGAAGGTCGGGCTGTGAAGAAGACCAGCTACCTGATTGTCAGTGTTGAGACCCCCTTTGGTTCACATGATGATCCCCGGATTGCAGGGGGTTGCTCGTGTCAGTCTTTTGTGGATTCACGCACTGACTTGCCTTCCTATGGGGATGATCTGAACTTGGTGGATGAAAAGTATATCAAAATTGCACAGAAACAGCTGACCAATTTCAAAGGCCATTCCTATCTTTCACGGTGGCTTATCTTTGGCCTGGGTGGTTGGGTCTACAAGAAGCACACGCATATTCCCACAGCTCTTTTACGAGAATTGGCCAACGACATGCGTTTTTTATTTGAACAAGGTGTTGTGATCCAAACCGGGGAAACTGTGTACGCCGCTCTGGTAGCAATCAAAGGAGACCTAGACTTTCATCAGAAGTACCTGAATCTGACCAGGTCCTACTCGCATCTAGGGAAAAAAAATGCCATCCAGATCTGCCATCTCTGCGAGGCAGGTGCCCAAAGATACCCATTCGAGGACTTCTCTGAGTGCCCCGGCTGGGCGTCGACGATGCTGACGGCCAGACCTTGGAACACACAACAGCCGCCAGCTTTAAGCCAAATCAATTTTGACCCAGGTCGACCGGAACTGGCCATTGGTCATGATGCCTTCCACATTGTTAAAGTGGGGGTTGGACGAGATGTAATTGGAGGTGTCTTGATTTATCTCTTGAGAAAAGGATTTTTCGACCATGGTGGAGACTCAACAAACATAGAGCAGCGGTTCATCCGTGCCCACAATTCCTTTTCATTGTGGTGCCAAGTTCAAGGGCATAGCCCAGGGCTCAGAAGTTTCACAAAACTTTTTTTCAACATGAAGAATTTGATGAGTGCGCCATGGTGTTCTTCAAAGGCAAGTGACACCCGTTTGCTATTGACATGGCTGGTATTTGTCTTGCGTCTCAACATCGCGAATCCAACAGTTCTTGGACATGAGCAGCATCTCAAACACATGTGTGAAGTGTGCCAGTCCACCCTGGATATCAACATCATGCACCATCATGGGCTATGGTTAGAGAGGCCTTGTGCACTTCGGCTCTACACTTGCATGATGACATGCTTGCGTGGGTATGCTTACTGTGGACGCGTCGGACTTCAACATCGAATCCGGAGTTTCATTCAAAAGCCGAAACACCATGCACTTCATCACATCGCCTATAAGCTGAAGGTAGAACTTTTGAAGGGGGCAAAACTCATTTCCAGCCCCCAAATGCTGGCATGCGATGTGAACGAAGACTTTATCGGTAGGATCAGCAGACTATCCCGACGAGTTGGGTTTAGGTTGTGTGATCTCCGGGTATGCCAAAGGTATTACATCAAAATAGCTGTTATGTTGAAAAAGCAAAAACGACAGAGCTTGAATGCGAAACGCGCATTCTCAAAGTCAAAGGCGAAGTCCAGTTTCAAGACAAAGCGCTGAAACTCATGATGGGTATTTCTTGTTTCTAGCTGGCACCAGCAAAGAATACCGCATTTCAAACATCATCAAGAAGCAACGCACGGGTTTGACTGAAAATGTAGCGATTTGAATGGAAATATGATCGTTAACCATCAAAGTTTGAGGTAGCCTATTTTCACATAAACCCAAATTTTGGTCCCACTTCAATTCTATTATGGATATTATATTGGATATCTTTTTGCCTATTGATTTCGCCATGCTGGGTGCCCAGCTGGATGAAGCTTCTGGATGACCAGGAAGGTAGCAAGGAACAGTTGCTGCTGGAATCCGGTTGGTGGTTGGGATGTGTTGGGATGTGGTTATGAACCCCAAACAAATTGGAGGTGTCAAAACTTGGCATTCCCATGTATTCCCCATAAATCGATTATCTGTTAAGGTCACTGCTGAACTTTGGCTTTCGGCTTCTTTGAGTTTGGGAAAGTATTCATGAGATATAACAATGTAAGGGCACATAACCATGAGTTGGTCTGACTGAAAACTAATAAGCATCCATGATCTTGAGCAAAAATGTAGAAAACCCTTTCAGGCAGGAATTTAGATTCAGGCGAGAATTCCAGGGTCAGGCAGAAAAAGCAGCCTAAACACATTCAGGCTCAAATTCTAGCCTGAGGTTGCTCTAGGTATATATATATATATTTGGTCTTCTCTAAATTCCTTTTCCCGGATTCGGACGAAAATCACCTTCAGTGCGTAGGACTCCGCATTTAAAGTTCAATTATTGCCCCAACAAACCTCAAACAGGTAAGAGTGCTCCTGCTTTTTCGAGTACAGTACGGTGACTTGACCAACGGGCAACTGCGCATTCTTGGGGCAACTATCTAGCTAGCGCGGATCTTCCGCCAGAATTACGTCTAGTCTAGCCACAAAAATTGTTTAAAATTGAAAAGAAATTGTTTTCACATGTTTGTGATGCGGCCCAAAAAGAAGGCAAAGCGGTAATGCAGCTCAAAGAGATTTGTGAGAAGTAAGGCCACTGTGCAGTTGCCCAAGCAGGGCCGGGAGCAACAGGTGCAAGAAAGCAAGAGGCAAAAAAAAAATCGGGCCTGACTATGTCTCACTGCTGTGTAAAAGTATCTAGCGCCACACTAGCGCAAATCTTGCGCTTAGCTGCAGGAAAGCGATTTCACTGCATATATATAATCTAGCAAATCTCCGCTTTCTAACAAAATCAAACAAACAAACAAACAAACAAACAAGCAACAAATCTCCGCTTTCAAAAAAATCTAAAGTACATCCCTGCCCCAGTATTTACGTCTTTCGGATTTAAATAAAAGTCCCTTAGGGGCAAATTACGCACAGTGTTTTCTCGACTGTGGGCCGCTCCATCAATTAATGTTTGTTAGCAGCTTGTGAAACATCCACAGCAGGTGGGCGAACTCCAACAGCCCCCGCGATATGTGTACATTTCGAAAGTAAAAGTGGTCGAAAGATAGCCGATCTGACACTATAATTTACACTAGTTGACACTGAAAGTGGCCGGAAAATAGCCGATCGGACGCTAATCCATACTAATTGACATTAAAATTGGTCGAAATGTGGCCGATCTCACAGTAATTAACCTGAACATTCCTTCGATCAATTATTTTTGGTAGTTTTGGAGTATGACCTAAAATAATCCAGTTTTCAGGATCTCGTCTAATTCTACTAGTTTGCCTGGTTTTGCTTCCTAGTGGCCACACTATCTGACTTGCATCCTGGCTGCGTCCCAGGGACACACCAGGCCATTCTCATATCCCGAGCACCAACGTATATAAATGCACATAACTGCGCCCAAAATTACCCGCAAAACGCCCGCAAAAACCTGCAAACGCCCACAAATCCAAGAATCTTGTACATTAACAAATTTTGGGAGCGCGCAATTAAACAGTAACCAACTTGGATGTGCGGATTGAAAGCAAAATACTGGTGAGAAGACTGGGAGGAGGGCCATGCCGATGGGAAACACAGCCATGACATACCACGCCTAACTTTTTGGGGAAACGCTGGATACGACCATAAATTTGATGAAACGCCTGATTGTGCAAAACGGCTGATATTTTTAAGGAGTTGGAAGGCCCAGGAACACTTATGTGCTGTACACTAATTGACCCTAAACGGTGTCGAAAAGTAGCCGATCTAGAGCACAGGCTAGCAAAATGACAAAATCGCTCCTGGGGCTACTTTCACCCACGCAGGCAACCATGATGAACCACAGCTTGTCGATACGTCCTTGAAACTTCTGAGCCATAGTCTCATTTAGTTTGCTTGAACACTAAATTTACGTAACTTCGTCGCAATGCCATTTCTGCTGCTGAAGTTGCGTGGCAGTCTACACTTGAGGCGTCCTCTTCCCAGCTCGGTCCAAATCAAATTCCCTAGATGCTAATCAACTCCCTGTCTTGTTCCGCAGCACCAGAAAAATGCCGCATTAAACTTTCTTGTTTGAATGCTTCTAGATTGCTTTACCATGGCGCCATCTTGGCCGTATGAGGTAGAAAGGGACATCAAAAAATGGTTCGTCGTTTTTATGTATTTATTTACTAGGTGGTACCCCCTAGTTATGTTGAACTTACGTAAGTTATAAGTATCGTAACTTAAGTTATGTTGAAGTTAACATAACTTAAGTTATGGGTTTTATAAGTAAGTTATATCTTGGGTAAGTTTTTACTTTGTGGAATTTTGTTTTTAAGGGTAAATTTGATTAAAACCATTGTTTATTTGCTTTCAGCAACAACACGGTGTATAAGCCTTTTTTTTTGCTTTTTGTGGTCGAGTGCGCAGATGCTCTTACTGAGCATTGAAGAAGTATTTAATTTATTTTGCAACCAATGTTTGGCACATTGAATTGTTTCTTGCCGGCCACGCAGGCTTTGTTCAGGGCAAGCAATGCACATATGAATTGGATTTTTCTTTGCGCCACCAACTGCATGTTTTCGGATTTTCAATAGTGTTCCATTTTCGGAAAACCAAAAAGTGAGCTGCAATGGAAAAAAACGAAGTCTTTTTCGGTTTTCCAACCAGACACATGCGCGTTTGTTGTGGTATGTTAAGAGAGCGCGCAACACATGCGCGTTTGCGATGCTTTTAATGTATATGTGCATACAAACACAACGCGTTTGTCACAGTGAAACATATACATACGCGTAGGCTCTATTCTTGCCTACATACCAAACACAAAAAAACATGTTCCGCACACATTCCGCACACATTCGCGTTTGGAAATCGATTGGGATCAAACATACATGCGTTTGTGGTGGTTAGGTATCAAACACATACACGTACATTGCTTCTTGTCACCAGACACATATGTGTTTGTTTGATTTTTTGTGATATTGCATCCAAACACATACGCGTTTGTAACCAAACCTTACATAGCCCCCAGAAAAGTCCAAAGTCAACCCGGGAACCCATGAGATGTATATTGTAGTCAGAAGAGCGCATATTGTAGTTTGTGTCCTTTCACTGGGATGCCTGAGGCCACTAGCTACCAGATATTCAACCAGAAGTTCAATCTTTTTGATTTGACGCTCCGTAGACCGAAGCGTCTCCCATTGCGTCTGCCGCAAAAGGTATGGGAAACGCTGCCATCATGTAAAATACGGCTCCTTTGACGAACTCGAGTCAAAAATGCCTGCAAAAGCATCAAAATCTTACCAATTTTCCCCCAAGATCCATGAACCAAAAAAAACAACTACAAAAAGTTAACTTGTGTAATTTTTTACTATCTTGTTTACGTCCGATTTCAATGAACTTATGTTATAAATCCACATCTTAGTTATTACTGCAACATGAGTTATCAAACTTATAACCTATGTTAACCCTGCTTATAAGTTCACTTGTGAACGTTATAAGATAAGATATAACTTGGGGGTACCACCTAGTAATTACCAGATTATTTCAATATAATTTGGATAGTCGCCCAATCTGAAAAACAACATCCACCTATGGCTTGCACCCATATGCATGAACACATTTCCGTCAATATGAAATCTCGCTTCATTTGGCAATATAAAGGCCACTAGAGAACATTAAAAAAAATCGGGAACCTCCACACAAGTTATTTGAAGAACCGCAGGTTGACCAATGTATGTGCTACCTCTCCCAAAGGTGCACTAATATATTTAAAAGACACATTCAAAATCAATAATAAAATGTCCCAAGTTTGCAACATAATATATGGGGTGTTGACCACAGCATGGATATTTCATCACTACATACTGGAACAGTTCAAACGTTTCACCGCTAGCGGGCAGATAGGACATTTAGTGGATGCAGTGCATCGATGTTTTCTCAAAATTTGCCCTCCACCGTCCACCAACCTTTCACGAGTCTACTCAGCTCTTGAGATTGACGATTCAAGCAGCAGAGGAAAACTCTCAAACCGGTTTGATCTTCGGGATATCTACCAGCAATTGGTTATTGGCATCATGGTGGCTGCTCACATCTCCAGCACACATCTTTCCTAGATTCTGCCAGTAACAATACAGGTAGCAGAGAGTGAAAACAACACAGAAATCCAGAACTTGATCTCCCTTGGCCCTTCATGCGTGGCATGTTTTTGGTATCCTTCACGGGGACCTTTGTGACCTTGTTTCAATGGTTCGAGATGACCCACACAACTGAAATTGAACGCCTGGATTCTTAACAAAGCCATGAAAGATGCATGCTCGGGTTTGATGCAATTATTTTTGGGGTTCATTTTGAAAGGCCCGGCTAAATCATCAAGATCAGAAAAATCAGAATTCTCATGCTGGCAACCATCAAGGGCCATCAAGCATCTCAGATCCAAATTAGAAGGTTCCAACGGCTGACATTGATGGCGATGGTTTGATTTTTTTCTGATCCAAATCTGCGGTTCCATCGGCGCTGGTGTGAATAGTGGGTCATGCCGGTCATACCTATCTGTCCATCTATCTATCCATCCATTCACCTATCTATCTATGTATCTATCTAATGTTCCATCTATCAAACTATCCATCAATCCATCCATCCATCCATTCATCCATCCATCTAAGTAGTGCCTATCTTTCTATCTACCTTTGTATATGTCTATATTCCTATTTTCCTATCTTTCTATCCATCCATCATTCCGAAAGTCCATCCATCCTTTTATCTAGCTATCTATCTATCTATCCATCCATCTATCTAGCTATCTATCTATCTATCTGTCTATATGTTTATCTATCTATCGATCTATCTATCGATCTATCTATTTATCTACCTATCTATCTATACATCTATACATCTATCTATACATTTATCTATCGATCGGTCTATCGATCTATCTATCTACCTATCTATCTATCTATCTGTCTGTGTATCTATCTGTCTATTTATCTATCTATCTAAGCTAATCTAATCTAATCTAATCTAATCTAATCTAATCTATCTATCTATCAAACTATGTTTCTATCTATCTACCTACCTACCTACCTATCTATCTATCTATTTATCTATCTATCTATCTATCTATCAAACTATCTATCTATCTATCGATCTATCTACCTACCTATCTATCTATCTATCTATCAAACTATATATCTATCTATCTATCTACCTAGCTATCTATCTATCTATCTATCTATCTATCTATATTTCGTTCGTGTTTAATTTTATTTTCTTTATTTGTTGTTGTCGTTTTTGTCTGTCTGTCTTTCTTTCTTTATGTGTGTCCTTCTTTCTCTTTTGGTTTCGTTCTCTCTCTCTCTCTCTGCCTATCTGCCTGTTTATCTGCATATCTATCTCTCTATCTACCGATTGATCTATCTATATATGTCATTATGTATCTCTCTTTCTAGCTGTCTATCTGGCTAGCTATTCATCTATCTATCTATCTATCTGTCTGTCTGTCTGTCTGTCTGCCTATCTATCTGATGTATCTAATCTAATCTAATCTGGTCTAGTCTAATCTAATCTATCTACCGAACATAAGTTTTCCATCTTTACAGCATACAATGGCAGTAAATCATGAGCAAATCCGATGGAACTGGTGAACTGCTTCGTAAAAGCGGTTTAGTAGGGGTTAAGTGAACCAAATTTAACTAATAAGATGGATTTACCAAGGGTTTATGTTGGTTTAGCTACATTCATAAACCATTTTTACCCAGAAATTTGCGGGCTTACTATCTCATTCAGCCACTCCATGGCCCAAATTCGCCGCGCCACGCTGTGCCCACCGATGTGGTTGCAGTGCTGCAAGTGGATGGCGGCCCTTTGGGGGCCAAAGGTGCGGCCTGATCGGTTTCGATCAAGTGGGAATTGCTCAAGCCATTGCCCCAGAAGGAACCACAGATTAGAAAGTATTTTTTAGTATCAACAATGTATTAACCATCCAGTTATTGGGATACCCAATGGCTTGACCCATACCCATAGATATAGTTCAGTTGGATGAATAAAAGTTGGGTGAATTTGATTGGTACCGGTGCTAAGATAATTAGTTCCCGTCCGCCCTGCGTCCGCCTAAGATAGATGGATCTTCCCATGTTCAACCAGTGGTTACACTCAGGCACTGGAAGTTGGTTAGAAGATCTGCGCATTATGTTCACTATGTCACTATGTTTCTACGAAAAAAACAAGTTGTCCATTGCCAAGCTTGTCAATGGTGGCCAAAAAAATGTTTTCAAACTACGGTGGCTGAAGAAAATGTCAGAGAAAAATCTCAAAATACTAAAATGCGAGGTAGTTTTGCTGCAACTGCAAAATTACCATGACCAAAGTAGAGAACCGCCTGGCATTCTCTGCGTGTACTTCAAAATGATCAAAGCAAATGCCAGCAGTAGGCAGCGCTTAAATTTCACCCCATATGTGCATGGTTCCAGGTGGTTCTGGAAAGTTGAGTGACGGTAAGTGTGGTTTCCAGGCTTCTGGGCAGCGTTTTCGGATGGTTTGTGAAGGTTTCGGCGTGGCTGCTCTGGCGTGGTGCTTCTGGAAGGTCTGGCGCCAGGTGATTCCGGTTCCGCCCGGTGGTTTTCCATTCCAACTCACCCCTATCGGTTTTACTTCACTTGTGACGCTGCTCGTTTTCCTTTCAGAATAGACGTGTGTGTGTGTAACATCTGAATAGATGTAAAACTTCTCTCTTTTTCTTCTTTCCTCTCCCTTTCTAATAACAATAATAATAATGCAGGGGACCATTTTTATGCTCTCTGACCCAAGTTTGAATGATGATGATTGTCTAGTCTGAAAGATGAGGGTCCCTTGGTGTGCCTCACCTAACGAAGGCCGCACCAAGTGGACGTGATATCAGTGCCCGGCCAGCACTGACGTACCTGCACCTTTATATTCTCTACGCTGTTGGTTTATATGTCAAAGACTCCTGTGATTTTTACTGACTTGCTCTTTATACTCTTAATGCTGTATGCCAATGACTCCTGTGATTTATACTGACGTGGCAAGGGGCTAAGCCAAGAACCCCAATAAACAATCTAATAAACAATCTAATAAAATAATTTTATTCCCGAGAGCGTCTGAGCGCAGGGTTCTTCCAATAGTGGGGGTCTGTATCTCATCTTCTCATCTTCACACCTTCTCATCTTCACACCTTCTCATCTTCACACCTTCTCTCACACCTTCTCATCTTCACATCTGCTCATCTTCACACCTTCTCATGTTCACATTTTGTCATCTTCACATCTTCTCATCTTCACATCTGCTCATTTTCACATCTTCTCATCTTCACATCTTCTCATCTTCACACCTTCTCATCTTCATATCTTCTCATCTTTCACACCTTCTCATCTTCACACCTTCTCTCACACCTTCTCATCTTCACATCTTCTCATCTTCACACCTTCTCATCTTCACATCTGCTCATCTTCACACCTTCTCATCTTCACATCGGCTCATCTTCACATCTGCTCAGCTTCACATCTGTTCATCTTCACATCTGCTCATCTTCACATCTGCTCATCTTCACATCTTCTCATCTTCACACCTGCTCATCTTCACATCTTATCATCTTCATATCTTTACATCTTCACATACTCACATCTTCTCTTTCTCTCTCTCTCGCACTCACATCTTCACATACTCACATCTTCTCTCTCTCTCTCTCTCTCTCCTCTTTCTCTCTCTCTCCTTTCTCTCTCCCTTTTCTCTCTCTCGCCTTCTTTATCTTTCTCTCTTTAGGCCTAAACACGGTCCCAAAAATGGGACCGCCTGGCGGTCCCATTTTTGGGACCACATGCACAACTTAGTAAAAGAACAAAAGAAAAGCACTTCACGGTCCCATTTTTGGGACCGTCTGGCGGTACCAAAAATGAGACCGCAAAATCGCAAAATCCACAGCAAAGGCCGACCCGTGCAACAAACAAAAGATTACAACTGCGTTTATTTAAGCAACAAGCATATAGAGTTGGAACAGAGGAGGCCCGCACATGCGAAGCCTGATTTCAATTGACTTTCCGGCCCCAAAAATGGAACCTGAAAGCGCACATGTGGTATCAGCTGTCTCCGTTCCCTAGCTCCAATGTGGCGATTTGCGATGCAGCACCACCCAGGCAACATTCACCAATCCTTTGCTACTCCGCGCTACTCCGCTACTCCGTGCTATGTTTTAATTCAATTACCCAATGTAATTGACACGATATCGAAACGATGGCGAATTTTACTTGTGCTGGAGCAACCCTTTCGCACGAAATGAGGGTCGATCGTCAAAAACTGAGGTAAAGTTGTGATTTTACTTGTGCCATAGCAACCCTTTCGCACGAAATGAGGGTCGATCGTCAAAAACTGAGGTAAAATTGCGATTTTACTTGTGCTACTTGTGCCGGAGCAATCCTTTTGCACGAAATGAAGGTCGATCGTCAAAAACTGGGGTAAAATTGCGATTTTACTTGTGCCGGACTTGTCCTGGAGCAACCCTTTCGCACGAAATGAGGGTCGATCGTCAAAAGAGGGTCGATCGTCAAAAACTGTGGTAATCTTACACAATGTTACTTGTGCTACTTGTGCCGGAGCAACCCTTTCGCACGAAATGAGGGTCGATCGTCAAAAAATGAGGTAAAATTGCGATTTTACTTGTGCCGGACTGGTCCTGGAGCAACCCTTTCGCACGAAATGAGGGTCGGTCGTCAAAAACTGGGGTAAAATTGCAATCCTGGACCAGCAAACGGGCAGAAAAACTAGACGACGGATGGCCCGAGAGCGTAGAGGAGCAGAGTCTTCTGTTATTAGTATGGAGACACTATATTACAAGATAATATATTAAAGATGTATTATTATAGGCAGACGAGAAGAGTAGTCAAGACAATATATGACTAGTACAAGACAATAGTTTGCATCGTATTTTTGTAAAGTTTTTCATACACAGAACTTTTTACAGACAGACGCTTTTGCACACAGAGACTTTTACACACAGAGACTTTTACACACAGAGACTTTTACACACAGAGACGACTTTTACACACACAGACGCTTTTACACACAGAAGCTTTTACACACAGAAGCTTTTACACACAGACGCTTTTACACACAGACGCTTTTTACGCACAGGCTCTTTTACACACAGACGCTTTTACACACAGACCCTTTTACACACAGACGCTTTTACACACAGACACTTTTAACAAAGACCCTTTTACACACAGGAGCTTTTACACACAGAAGCGTTTACACGCAGACGCTTGTATACACAAAAGCTTTTACACACAGAAGCTTTTACACATAGACGCTTTTACACACAGGCACTTTTACACACAAACACTTTTACACACAAACACTTTTACACACAGAGACTTTTACACACACAGACGCTTTTACACACAGAAGCTTTTACACACAGAAGCTTTTACACACAGACGCTTTTACACACAGACGCTTTTACACACAGACGCTTTTTACGCACAGGCTCTTTTACACACAGACGCTTTTACACACAGACCCTTTTACACACAGACGCTTTTACACACAGACACTTTTAACAAAGACCCTTTTACACACAGGAGCTTTTACACACAGAAGCGTTTACACGCAGACGCTTGTATACACAAAAGCTTTTACACACAGAAGCTTTTACACATAGACGCTTTTACACACAGACGCTTTTGCACACAGAGACTTTTACACACAGACGCTTTTTACACACAGACGCTTTTACACACAGACGATTTTGCACACAAACACTTTTACACACAAACACTTTTACACACAGAGACTTTTACACACAGAGACTTTTACACACAGAGGGCTTTTACCCGCAGACGATTTTACACACAAACACTTTTACACACAGGGACTTTTACACAAAGACTTTTACACACAGAGATTTTTACAAACAGACGCTCTTACACAGACGATTTTACACACAAACACTTTTACACACAAACACTTTTACACAGAGAGACCTTTACACACAGACGCTTTTACACACAGAAGCTTTTACACACAGACGCTTTTACACACAGACGCTTTTACACACAGACGCTTTTACACACAGACGCTTTTACACACAGACCCTTTTACACACAGACGCTTTTACACACAACCGCTTTTACACACGGCACTTTTACACACAGACACTTTTACACACAGACGCTTTTACACACAGACGCTTTTACACACAGACGCTTTTACACACAGACGCTTTTACACACAGAAGCTTTACACACAGAAGCTTGTACACACAAACACTTTTACATACAAACACTTTTACACACAGAAGCTTTTACACACAGTTGCTTTTACACACAGACGCTTTTACACACAGATGTTTTTACACACAAACGCTTTTACACACAGACGCTTTTACACACAGACGCTTTTACACACAGACGCTTTTACACACAGACGCTTTTACACACAGACGCTTTTACACACAGACGCTTTTTACACACAGACGCTTTTTACACACAGACGCTTTTACACACAGACGCTTTGACACACAGAGGCTTTTACACACAGACGCTTTTACACACAGACGCTTTTACACACAGACGCTTTTGCACACAGAGACTTTTACACACAGACGCTTTTTACACACAGACGCTTTTACACACAGACGATTTTGCACACAAACACTTTTACACACAAACACTTTTACACACAGAGACTTTTACACACACAGACGCTTTTACACACAGAAGCTTTTACACACAGAAGCTTTTACACACAGACGCTTTTACACACAGACGCTTTTACAATCTTTTACACACAGACGCTTTTACACACAGACGCTTTTACACACAGACGCTTTTACACACAGACGCTTTTACACACAGACGCTTTTACACACAGACGCTTTTACCCGCAGACGCTTTTACACACAGACAAGTCCGGCACAAGTAAAATCGCAATTTTAGCTCAGTTTTTGCGCATCGACCCTCATTTCGTGCAAAAGGGTTGCTCCAGGACAAGTAAAATCGCAATTTTTCCTCAGTTTTTGGCGATCGACCCTCATTTCGTGCGAAAGGGTTGCTCGGGGACAAGTAAAAATCGCATTTTTACCTCATTTTTTGCGTTGTGCATCGACCCTCATTTCGTGCGAAAGGGTTGCTCCGGCACAAGTAAAATTGCAATTTTACCCCAGTTTTTGCGCATCGACCCTCATTTCATGCGAAAGGGTTGCTCCAGGACAAGTCCGGTCGCAATTTTACCTCAGTTTTTGCGCATCGACCCTCATTTCGTGCGAAAGGGTTGCTCCGGGACAAGTGAAATCGCAATTTTACCTCAGTTTTTGACGATCGACCCTCATTTCGTGCGAAAGGGTTGCTCCAAGACAAGTCCGGCACAAGTAAAATTGCAATTTTACCACAGTTTTTCACGATCGACCCTCATTTCGTGTGAAAGGGTTGACGTTTCGTGACTCCCCGCCGGCACCACCCTCGGCCTAAAGAGAGAAAGATAAAGAAGGCGAGAGAGAGAAAAGGGAGAGAGAAAAGGGAGAGAGAAAGGAGAGAGAGAAAGGAGAGAGGAAAGAGGGGAGAGAGAGAGAGAGAGAAAGTGAAGATGTGAGTATGTGAAGATGTGAAGATGAGCAGATGTGGAGATGAGAAGATGTGAAGATGAGCAGATGTGAAGATGAGCAGATGTGAAGATGAGAAGGTGTGAAGACGAGAAGATGTGAAGATGAGAAGGTGTGAGAGAAGGTGTGAAGATGAGAAGGTGTGAAGATGAGAAGATGAGATACAGACCCCCACTATTGGAAGAACCCTGCGCTCAGACGCTCTCGGGAAAAAGGTTGTTTTGGTCAATGACCCTGTTTTGAGCCAATTGACCTATTTGGGGTCAGATCGGGCAATTCAACCCAAACGACCCAAAATGGCTGAAATCTGGCTGAAATCTAATTTTCTATGTGTTTCTATGGTGTCCCAATCCCATAACTTCACTTTCTTTCACCATAGCTACACTTGTAGCACTGATTGACCCTTGACGTGTTTGACTGGATCCATGGGGCCTGCGCTTTCAGGCCTGAGCCCCCGCTCTGCTTTTTCTTTTAATCTTCGCAGAGTTGGTGCATTGTTCAGGGATTGGATGCCAATTGGCATAAATTTCAATGCTGTATGACACGTGTTGTTCAGATTCTGGCTCGCAAATCTGTACCATCTGAGACAGCTGTGTGTTTGTCTGCGTGTGGGACTTCACGCATACAAGTATTTAATTGGCGTTATTCACAACACCTAAGGCAGTCATGTAAAACACGTATGATTCACGTATTCACGCCGCAGATTTGGGACAGCAACTCCCCGCAAAACAGCAAATCGTCAATTTTCAACTTTTTTCGGACCAAAACTACCCCGCAAATCGGGCGCAAAAACCCGCAATTCGCACGCAAAAACCGAGGATTTCTGCCCTGATGTGCTTTGACAAAATGTATTTTACCGCAGCAAAGCTAGGTTTAGATGGCAAATTCTTTTGATTTAGGAAAGTGTGTCAGCCACTCGCAGACACACCAATAGGTTGATTGCTGACTGCATTGCTGTAGCCATTCTTGGGATGCTTTTCAACACACTTAATGGATCAGATTCTTCTTCATGAGGCCCTGTTCTACGTTTGAGAAGGGGGTATAGAAGTGCTTTTCAGTTAGAGATATCTTAAGATGATTTTCTTTGTCATGGGAAGGTGACTGAGGCTGGGGGTGTTGGCAAGACGAAGATCACATCGGAAGATGTTCACGGTTGTCACGTTCATGTCACCACCTGCTTCTTATATAACAATACAGTACAGACGTGTTTGCACCTTTACCGGCAGAAATTGCTGAAGTTTGGGTGATTTGATGTGATGTGGCAAGAGACTCCACGTGTGGAGATAAGACCTTGCAGAAAAAGTTGGGATCGCGCAGAAATGGCCCAAACCGGGCAAAATTACCATTATTTTCCGAAACGGGCAGACAACCAAAACGACCAAAATTTAATGGTTGTTTGATGATACAGGATTTTACTTGTGCTGGACTTGTCCTGGAGCAACCCTTTCGCACGAAATGAGGGTCGATCGTCAAAAACTGTGGTAAAATTGCAATTTTACTTGTGCCGGGCTTGTCTTGGAGCAACCCTTTCGCACGAAATGAGGGTCGATCGTCAAAAACTGAGGTAAAATTGCGATTGTGCCGGACTTGTGCTGGAGCAACCCTTTCGCACGAAATGAGGGTCGATGCGCAAAAACTGAGATAAAATTGCGATTTTACTTGTGCCGGAGCGACCCTTTCGCACGAAACGAGGCTCGATGTGCAAAAACCGAGGTAAAATTGCGATGTAACTGGTGTTGGATGTAAATGGGTGTGAGTGTAAGAGTGTAAGCGTTTGTGTGTAAGAGGGTCTGTGTGTAAATGGGGTCCGTGTGTCGCAGCTTCTGTGTGTCAAAGGGTTTCTGTGTCAAAGTGTTTGTGTGTAAAAGGGTTTGTGTGTAAAAGTTTCTGTCTGTGTGTAAGAGGGTCTGTGTGTAAAAGTGTTCGTGTGCAAAAGGGGGTGTGTGTGTGTCTGTGTGTGTGTGTAAAAGCTTCTGTGTGTAAAAGTGTTTAAGTGTAAACGGGTTTGTGTGTAAAAGCTTCTGAGTGTAAAAGCGTCTGCGTGTACAAGCTTCTGTGTGTAAAAGCGTCTGTGTGTAAAAGTGTTTGTGTGTAAAAGTGCCTGTGTGTAAAAGCGTCTATGTGTAAAAGCTTCTGTGTGTAAAAGCTTTTGTGTATACAAGCGTCTGCGTGTAAACGCTTCTGTGTGTAAAAGCTCCTGTGTGTAAAAGGGTCTTTGTTAAAAGTGTCTGTGTGTAAAAGCGTCTGTGTGTAAAAGGGTCTGTGTGTAAAAGCGTCTGTGTGTAAAAGTGCCTGTGTGTAAAAGCTTCTGTGGGTAAAATCTTTGTGTGAAAGCGTCTGTGTAAAGGCGTCTGTGTGTAAAAGCTTCTGTGTGTAAAAGCGTCTGTGTGTAAAAGCGTCTGTGTGTAAAAGCGTCTGTGTGTAAAAGGGTCTGTGTGAACGTGCCAGTCTGTAAAAGCTTCTGTGTGTGAAAGCTTTTGTGTGTAAAAGCTTCTGTGTGTAAAAGCTTCTGGGTGTAAAAGCTTTTGTGTGTAAAAGCGTCTGTGTGTAAAAGCTTCTGTGTGTAAAAGTGTTTGCGATGCAAACTATTGTCTTGCACTTCTGCTATTTTGTCTTGAAACTCCTCTTCTCGACTGCCTATAACACATCTTTAATATATTGTTTTGTAATATGGTGTCTCCTTGCTAACAAGAGAAGACCCTGCTCCTCTACGCTCTCCGGCCATCCGTCGTCTAGTTTCTTCACGGTTGCATGTTACAGGACTCAGTTCCTGACGGATCTGTTCAAAGATCCTTTCTTGTCTAGTGTGATTCCTATTGTGACTCCGACAAGGTGCCATAGGGCCAATGGAGGCAACCCCTTTGTGGGTGACTGTGGACAGACTTGACTTCCGAATTCACACATTTTAACTTAGTAATTCGTTTAGGTAAAGTGAAACAGTTGGCCTTCGGTTGTGCACCTTTTTTACAAAGTCCCGCCGATCCTGCTGTCCCTTGAAAAATGCTTTGCATGGGGTACATGTCTATAGTGGAACAACTGGTTACCTGTGCTGGTTTGTTGCTTCAAACACTTCCCGCGCACTGTTCTACCACCTTTGTTGTTGGGGACACCGCGCGGGCTTATTTTTGTAAGGCCTTGGATGCGAGTGAGGATCTTTTTAAATCTTTGTCAGCGCAAGTGCAGGCAGCCTTGCCTGGATTATCAGTTATGACGTGCACCTGTTGGGTGTGGCATTGTTCACACTACAGGCACAGTTACATGCAGGTTGCTTGCCAGTCAAGGTTGGGCTCTTCCAGCTGGATGTCAAATGGCACGGCGTCACGACCCACCCCGCAGCCACAGCGCACATCCGCGGCCCCTGCAGCCACATTCTCAACCACACACAACCTTCTCTTAACAGAAAGGAGATGATACATTGGCACGTGGAAAAGCACACTCCAGAACTACTGTGTAGATTGTTTTCCCCAGCTAGTATCAAATGACTACGCCAAGTATATCCTTCAGTCTTCCTGTTGTGAATTTTGCGCGAAGTGCCATCTGCACGTCTGCAGGTCAAGAACAGGCGAAGCTGCAAAGCCTACCACTCGCAGTCTCAGTGTAATCAGGAGGATTGAAAAATGTCAGCCCCATCGATTCCCATTGGGTGAGACAATTGACCCGCGAGGAGGCGCAAGTCCCCTGGTTTTTCCTCAATGTTCCCATGAAAAATGGAGATTTTTGGTGGCCAGGTGACATTCCGAGAGGCTAGAACTCATTGGTGAAGCTATGCTTCTTAGGGTTCTAACAGATTCCTTGGCTAGTTGGTGATTCCCACTCTGCCGCATCAGTTGTGGGTTCTATCCCCGTTTTTTGTTGATGATATTATGTATTTTGCTGTGCCTTGGGAATTCTCCGCCGCCGGTGACGGCTTGAACCCCTTTCACCGCCACGGCGCCTTTCCAGATGGAGTGAGGCGCCGGCCTAGGGATGGATCCATTCAAAGGAGATTCGGCAAGATTCCCATCAGCACTTGAGTCAGCTATGAACATCATCACAGCCAAACGAAACTACGAATGGGTGATATGTACATGTATGCAATGCAATGCACTGCAATGTAATGTAATGTAAGGGAAATTGTAAAGGTTAATGTAAATGTAAATGTACATATGTGATTGTAAATGTATAAACATAGATGCTGCAAATGCAAATGTAAATGCAATGTGTTGTAATGTAACGTACTGCAATGTAATGCAATGTATGATAATGCATGCTGTATGTATATTATATACTTCTATACTACAATCACCCCTGTTTGTACTGGTTTAAGATGTTTCTTCGCAGAAACCCTGAAACCATGGCTCCACAACAGTGGCCCCCGGCCATCGTCGCTGTGAGTGTCTCTTTTGGGCACTGGGCGGTTGGGAGGTCGGGGGGAGGATGGCACCTGCGCGCCGGCCCTGTGGGACGGATGTCATGGGGACTTGGTGAGTGATCCCAGGGATGGAGTCTGTGGTTTAGTTTACCCCAATGAATTCATGGCAACTACAGGGGCAATGTCCAGCTATGACATGTTATAACTGGGGCTGAACATGAACTAAGCCACTTTAACACGATTCCTGGGGTGAACTGCCAAGCATTTCATATTTGGTGATATGATTGATATGATGGATATTTCACCATCTTTATTTTAAATGGGGATATAATCGAGATAGGGATGCAACCGACAAAGTGATTTGGACGGAGCGTTTTGAAGCTGTGAAACCACCCGGAACAAATGGGGACATCGGGGCAAAAGCAACATCAACAATATAGGTGTCAGGGTCAAGACATGTCAAGACACACGTGATTTCGATTGAAACCGTTTACTTAAAGTCGACCAAAATCAGGGGTTCTACTAGGGGCCTTAGATCTGACAAACCAATTTGTTGATGTTTATTGGGTCACCATGGAAGGTGGGGGACCACCCTTCAAAATCGGTGGAAAGGTCCTCAGGCATTCCAGGGACGCCCGAATGCATTCACATAAAGACCCACGCATTAAGAGGCTAAGCCCTGAACACTCTGCACTCCACACTCTACACTCCACACTCTAGACTTCACACTCCTTCCTCTAGGTTTGAAACTCCACACTCCACACTCTACACTTCACGCTCCACGCTCTACACTCCACACTCTAGACTTCACACTCCTTCCTCTAGGTTTGAAACTACACACTCCACACTCTACACTTCACGCTCCACGCTCTACACTCCACACTCTAGACTTCACACGCCTTCCTCTAGGCTTGAAACTCCACACTCCACACTCTACACTTCACGCTCCACGCTCTACACTCCACACTCTAGACTTCACACGCCTTCCTCTAGGCTTGAAACTCGACACTCCACCCTCTACAGTTCACACTCGTAACTTCACACTATTCTCTCTACGCTTTGCCTTGGCCTTTCTTAGCAGCGGGGGCCATTGGACAGCACAACAACAAAAGTTGTTTTGTTCCTTCTTTTTCTTCGTCTATTTGATTTTCTATATTATTATTCTTCTCCTCCTGCTTCTTCTTCTTCTCGTCCTCCTGCTTTTTCTTCTTATCATTATTATTATTCTTCTTATTTTTCTTATTATTCTTGTTTGTTTGTTTGTTTGCTTGTTTGTTTGTTTGCTTGCTTGTTTGCTTGCTTGCTTGCTTGCTTGTTTGTTTGTTGTCGAGTTGTTGATGTTGCTTTTGTGTTTTTTTGGTTGAGCACTAGGCAAACGCCATGTATACTTCCTGCCGGGCCTCAGATCCAAGGCTTACGATCAATTTGAGAGGGGCAGAAACGATTGAAAACAGGCACTTCTTACGGAAAACAATGCGGGATGTTGGATTTGGAAATAGCGGCGTATGTGCCATGACCTCAATCTTACTTTAGATGACCAATCTTGGAAAACAGTCAGCAGAACAGAAGGCCCTTAAGAAAACCACTAGCGGAATGGGTTTTTTTACATGCAAACTGCAGACTGCGATCTGCACAAGTTGGTGATTCGCAGCTGGGCGCCCGGCTCTGAACTAAGCCATTGCGCATGCGCTCGTTTGCACACACTTGTTGTTTTTTAACTTACAACCTGTTGTCATGTGGCATTCCTGTTGAGATCGACATTAGTCCTAGAACTCATGCCTGAGACTGTTGCAAACCTGTCACTAGCTAGATCAATCGAATCTGATAAACTGATGGTGCCTAAAGGTAGCAAGAAAAACATCAGGCTCAAGTGAAGCCACGCAATCAGTAAGCACCGCCACCACCATCACCAACACCAACGCCACCACAAAAACAGAAGCAACACCAATGATAACAAAAGCAGCAGGAACAACAAAAATAAATCAACGGCAAAAGCAACACCAACAACACAGTAGAGTGTTCCAGAGATAAAAGATCGCCAATATTTGCAAATCATATGGGAGGGAAAAGCCAAATGGCACGAAATTATGTCTATATTTCCTACGGAATTAGCTGCTGAATCCAACACTTAAAACGTCAGAACCCCCAAAAAAAAACAAAAGGTATAGTGTTCCAGAGAGAAAAGATGGCCAATATTTGCACATCATACAAAGTGAGGCCCCCAAGTTATAACTTAAGTTGTAAGGGGGGTTAACTTAAGTTGTAAGTGGGTGTATGTTATGATGCAAGTTGGATAATTTATCATGAAGTTAAAAATAAGATGATGACTTATAACTATAGATAAGTTCAGGGCTGCGAAAAGATACAAATAAGTTACGCGAGTTACGTTTTCGACGTCTCAAATCGAGCGTCATGTTTATCGAGTGATAACTCCCCCTATTTTTAGGCTCAAAGTGCCGAAACAGGTCAAATCGACGCGAAAACAATGGAAGATGCCCCAAGACGCGCAAACATGCAGGATTATAGGAACTTTCCGCTGTACTTAACGGCGGATCTGTGGAACGTGCTTGAGAGCACTGAGACGACAACTTCTCAACTTCGGAAGATAGAATTGCTTTGCAATTATCTAGTCAGCTCTCTAGGACTTCGTCATGCCAGTGAGCCGACGCAGTCGGTGCTAGTGGCCTTGGTGGGGCGGCGCATGGAGGCACTGCAGCAAAGCGCTTTGCTCCAAAGGATAAAATCAGTTTTGCGAACTACGTGCACCAGGGCGAAGCACTCGGGAACCCCATTGCCAGGAAACGTTTACCTTGAACAACTGCCGGCAGGTCTGGATGATCTACCAGAGGCCTTTCGGACGCATGTGGCGACCTTGGGAATTTCAGCTGTGCCTGCTGGGGTGAACTTGGAAGAAATTTGGCAATCGGCACGCGCCACACCATTGCGTAGCCACAATCAGCAGTTGGTGTTGCAGCAAGCAGTGCACGGACGAGCTCCGCAGGGTGTGGCCAAAGCTGCCAGACCAAAACCACCAAGATTGCAGCAAGGCAACTTGAACAGATGGGTCCACCTTGCTGTCCTCCATGGCTCCTGCAACAGCATATGGCATTGGAAACAAATGTCAGCAAATGGCAATGTAAGCAGCTTGACATACCACCAGCCTTGGCCACTGGTGCAACACCAGCAAGGCTACTGTCCTCAGTGCCAAACAACTATTGTAAAAAAATGGCTTGAGTCACTTGGGTTATAAGGATCTGGCTGCTGGTGCCACCATGGCTGGAGCTGCTGCCATGCCACTGGAACTGCTGGCCATCATGGCCTCCAAATATGCATAAACAGGCATTGCATCTGGCAATATCACTATGGAATGAATCAACCAATGTTACAAGATATGTATTCCAAACTAAACAAGGCATTAGGTGCTGTGAAAGCCTTGGCAGCTGGAGCCTTTGGAGGCGATTTGGGCCTCATGGGCCCCTTTGGTATGCTTACATCAGCAGCTGCCTTTGATGCTGCCTTGGGTGGTAGTGGAAGCACTGGGGCTGATGCAGGGTATGCCTTGGGTGGTGTGACTGGTGTGGCTGGCATTGATTTGTGTGGTGGTCTTGCCAATGGTGCTGCCTTGCCTCTGGATGTTGGTGCTGCAGCTGGATCCACAGTGGTTGCCTTGGCTGTGGATGTTGCTTTGGCTGGCCCACCTTGGCTGTGGATGTTGCTTTGGCTGGCACTGGTGTGGTTGGCTTGGCTGTGGAGCTTGGTGTGGCTGGCACCACATTGGTTGCATTGGCTGCGGATGTTGCTGTTGCTGGCACTGGTGTGTTTGGCTTGGCTGGTGTGGCTGTGGCTGGTTGTGGATGGATTGGTTGTTGTGGATGTTGCATCTGTGGGTGCCAGCTCCTGTTGGCATGGTGAACCAACTTTGGGTCTTTCCATTTCCTCCATGGTGGGGTGTCTGTACTGCTGGCTGGTGTTGCTGGGCTTGGTGGTGTTTTTGAAGTGGGGCTTGGGATTGGAGAAGCTGGTGCTGGCATGAAAATTGGTTCTGCTGGGGAAAGCAGCCTTGGAGCTGCCTGGACAGTTTCTGGTGGTGACAGAGGTCCTTCTGGTAAAGGTCCTGCTAGGCTTTCTATTCTTGGTGTACCTGGATTGGGTGGGGTGGCTGGAGGGCTGGCTGGCTCCATGGAGCTATCCATGTCCTGCATGGTGTGCAGTAATTGTTGGATGCTTGGGGGGCATGGTGGAAATGCAACATGAATGCACTGCACCTCTGCTTGGGCAGCCATGATTTCCAAAGCATGGCCAAGGTCCTACACCATTGAAAGAAACATATTGGGAATGATGTTGTTGTCAATAAAGTTCTATTATCATGACATATGTGGGCAATATGCATACATGGACATATGTTTATTTTTATATATAGATACATTGCATCCTTGCAAGCATGAAGCCCCACCTCTTCTTCTCTGGGTGGTCTTGGGAAGTCAGCCTTGGACCTGGACCCATGTCTCAGCCTGACCTGCAACAACACATGGAACAAGATGGTCACAAGCACTGTGTGCTGATTAGAATTAGTTTGGAAAAAAGCACTGTGTGCTGAATTAAACAAATGGAACAAAAAGTGCTGTGTGCTGATTTGGGGAATGTCAGAAAACCAATGAGTGTTGGAGCAAATTTCAACATTGCAGTCTATGGTTACTGCCTGCAACGGCATATAGCACTGGAAACAAATGTCAACAAGTGGCAATGTAAGCAGCTTGGCATACCACTGCAGCCTGCAGCCTTGGGCACTGGTGCAACACATTCTCTTGTCTGCTGGATCTGCAGCCACTTGTTGCCACTTGGCATCATGGGGTCACCCTTGACCTTGGCGATGAACTTCTGCAGATCTTGGTCCATGGCAGCACAAACACAAATTGGTCTGGCTACCTAACAAAAGGTGAAACATTTTCAACCATGGCACAAATTTTCAATTGCATCATATTCTGACATGGCTGTCAAATTAAAAGTTTTCTGGCATGCCATGTTGTACACATGTGAGCATTTGGAAAGCAAAGTGGCTGTTTTGGAAGCAC